CTTTTTTTTTTTTTTTTTTTTTTTTTTTTGAGACGGAGTCACACTCTGTCACCCGGGCTGGAGTGCAGTGGCACTATCTTGGCTCACTGCAACCTCCGCCCCCTGGGTTCAAGCAATTCTCCTGCCTCAGCCTCCTGAGCAGCTGGGACTATAGGTGCGTGCCACCATGCCTGGCTAATTTTTGTAATTTTAGTAGAGATGGAGTTTCACTGTATTGGCCAGGCTGGTCTCGAACTTCTGACCTCGTGATCCACCTGCCTCAACCTCCCAAGGTGCTGAGATTACAGGCGTGAGCCATTGCACCCAGCCTAGTTTATCTATGTCTTAACCAACCAAAATCCACTGTGGGTCTTTTTTTTTTTTTCTTTTCTAGAAAAACTTTAAAATTGAGATGGGATCTCACTATGGTGCCCAGGCTGGTCTTGAATTCCTGGGCTCAAGTGATCCTCCTGCCTCGGCCTCCCAAAGTGCTGGGATTACAGATGTGAGCCACCATACCCAGCCAAAAATGTTCTTTGAAGCGATTCTCCTGCCTCCTGAGTAGCTGGGATTATAGGCTTGCGCCACCATGCCTGGCTAATTTTTTATTTTTAGTAGAGATGGGGTTTCTCCATGTTGGTCAGGCTGTTTTTGAACTCCTGACCTCAGGTGATCTGCCCGCCTCAGCCTCCCAAAGTGCTGGGATTACAGGCGTGAGCCACCACACCTGGCCAGAAATGCTTTTTAAAAACAGTTCCGCCCGGGCGTGGTGGCTTACACCTGTAATCCTGCAAGGCACATGGGTCACCTGAGGTCAGGAGTTCAAGACCAACCTGGCCAACATGGTGAAACCCTGTCTCTACTAAGAATACAAAAATTAGCTGGACGTGGTGGCATGCACCTGTAATCCCAGCTACCTAGGAGGCTGAGGCAGGACAATCGCTTGAACCTGGGAGGCGGAGGTTGCAGTGAGCCGAGATCACGCCGTTGCACTCCAGCCTGGGTGACAGAGCAAGACTGCATCTCAAAAAAAAAAAAAGTTCCAGGCTGGGCATGGAGGCTCACGCCTATAATCGCAGCACCTTTGGGAGGCCGAGGCGGGCAGATCACCTGAGGTTAGGGGTTTGAGACCAGCCTGGCCAACATGGTGAAACCGTGTCTCTACTAAAAATATATATATTTAAAAAAACAAACTAGCCAGGCGTTGTTGTGGGCTCCTGTAATCCCAGCTACTCGGGAGGCTGAGGCACGAGAATTGCTTGAATACGGGAGGCGGAGGTTGCAGTGAGCCGAGATCGCGCCATTACACTCCAGCCTGGGCAATAAGAGCAAAACTCCATCTCAAAAAAAAAAAAAACAAACAAACAAGTTCCAATTGAGGACTTTGGACACTGGATCATAGATGAGGTTAAGGAATTAGTAAATATTAGCTCTTTAAGATGTAATAGTGGCACTGTGGTTTTGATGTTTAAAAGTCTTTATTAGAGACCAAAGTGGTGTGCTATCTGAAATTTCATTTAAAATAATTCAGCTGGTTGCAGCAGCTCACGCCTGTAATCGCAGCACTCCGGGAGGCTGAGGTGGGAAGACCACTTGAGTGATCCAGGCTGGTCAGGAGTTCCAGTGGTGAATATGGTGAAACCCTGTCTCAAGTGAAAATATAAAAATTATCCAGGTGTGGTGGCAGGGGCCTGTAATCCCAACTACTTGGGAGGCTGAGGCAGGAGAATCGCTTGAACTCGGGATGCAGAGGTTGGGGTGAGCTGAGGTCATGCCACTGCACTCCAGTCTGGGTGACAGAGCGAGACTCCATCTCAAAAAAAAAAAAACAACGCAGTGGGCTGTGGGAGGATAGGGATGAAACAAGTCTGGCCGCATGTTGATAATGGAAGTGGGCTCATGGGAGTTCCTTGTACTGTTCTCTACTTCCATTAAGTGCTTGAACTTCTCCATAATAGAAAAGAAATAAAAGAACGGATCAAGTTCAGTAGGGTTTCTGTGCCCTTCAGAGCCTCCACTCGTAACTATAGAAGCTTGCTGTGCCTTATCACAATGAACAGCTCCCGTCAAGGGGACCGTGCCTCCTTGCTGAGCACTTGTACTTCGTGTTACTGACTTCTCACAGCTTCCAAGTGCAGCAGGGGTTGCTACTCCCATTTTTAAGGTAAAGAAATGGAGGCTTGTTGAGGCAAGCACGCTTACAAAGAGTGAGAGTTCGGAGATGGGACCTCGAGCACCTCAAAGCCTAGTTCCCGACTCCACGGCCCAGTTCCTTTGCGTCTCTGCTCTGGGCTGCTCTGGGTTAAGATGAGCCCCTAACCAATGTTTTCCTAAGGGAGAGGTGCTGGCAGGGCTCTGCACGCATACACTGGTGGGGCACTGCCTGGCCTTGGGTCTGTACTACCTTCTTTGAGCTTTCGTGCTCTGTCTTCAGGACTTGGGTACCATTGCTTTGCTGCATTTTCTTTTACCTTTAGGCACATTTGTGGCCCCCCACCCCCACCCCAGGTAAGCAAGCACTCCAGGAAACTCAGGCGGTGTGCTGGGGTGGTTTCCTTACAGCTGTCCTTCAGGAAGCTCAGCTGTTGTTTGGCCTTCTCCATCCCCCAACCCTGCAGCATTCATTGGTCCCACTGTAGTGTTCCACAGTAACTGTTAGAATGCCTGCTGTCTGGTGTTGCTGGGTGTGTTTCCTTGCCTCTGTGACAACCTTCAGCTCCTCATTAAATATTAGCATCTTATGAGGCCTTTCCTAGCCTGCCTTATAAAGTCATCTGTTTCTATCTCTGGTCATCTGATGTGATCATATGATCTCCTTATTTACTTCTTCCATTAGCATAGGAACCCCATGAGGGTAGACACCTTTTTTGTCTTTTTTTTTTTTTTTTTTTTTTTGAGACAGTCTCACTGTGTTGCCCGGGATGGACTGCAGTGTCGTGATCTCAGCTTACTACAGCCTTCGTCGCCTCCCTGGTTCAAGCGATTCTCTTGTCTTAGCCTCCTGAGTAGCTGGACCATGCCCAGCTAATTTTTTGTGTATTTTTAGTAGAGGCGATGTTTTGCTATGTTGGTCGGCTGGTCTCGAACTCCTGGTTGCAAGTGATCCGCCTGCCTCCGCCTCCCAAAATGCTGGGATTACAGCTGTGAGCCACTGCGCCCAGCACCCCTTTTTTTTTTTTTTGAGATGGAGTCTCGCTCTGTTGCCCAGGCTGGAGTGAGTGAAGTGACACGATCTCCACTCACTGCAAGCTCCGCCCCCCGGGTTCATGCCATTCTCCTGCCTCAGCCTCCCGAGTAGCTGGGACTACAGGCACCTGCCGCCACGCCCGGCTAATTTTTTTGTATTTTTATTAGAGACGGGGTTTCACAGTATCCGCCAGCATGGTCTCGATCTCCTGATCTCGTGATCCGCCCGCCTTGACCTCCCAAAGTGCTGAGATAACAGGCGTGAGACACCGCGCCCGGCCAGCCTTTTTTGTCTTGTTTACTGCCAAATCCCCAACAACTACAGTATTTCCAGGCACATAGTAGATGCTTAAGAGTTACCTATTTATGGCCAGGTGTGGTGGCTCAAGCCTGTAATCCCAGCACTTTGGGAGGCCGAGATGGGCGGATCATGAGGTCAGGAAATCGAGACCATCTGGCGAACATGGTGAAACCCCATCTCTACTAAAAGGTACAAAAAAACTAGCCGGGCGAGGTGGCGGGCGCCTGTAGTCCCAGCTACTCGGGAGGCTGAGGCAGGAGAATGGCGAGAATGGCGTAAACCCGGGAGGCGGAGCTTGTAGTGAGCTGAGATCCGGCCACTGCACTCCAGCCTACGGGACAGAGCAAGACTCCGTCTAAAAAAAAAAAAAAAAAAAAGAGTTACCTATTTACAAAAGCACAAACATCGGCAAAAAAAAAGAATTACCTTTTGATTGAATGAGAGTTAGCTGGTGCAGGGAAAAAAAAAAAAAGCCAGTGCAGATTGAGAGACCTGGCCATAGAAAATTACAACGCTCAGGGATGTGGTACGACAAGGAACTTTTTTGGTTTTTTTGAGACAGAGTCTTGCTTTATTGCCCCAGCTGGAGTGCAGTGGCACGATCTTGGCTCACTGCAACCTCCGCCTCCCAGATTCAAGTGATTCCCCTGCCTCAGCCTCCTGAGTAGCTGGGACTGTAGGCGCACACCTCCACACTCTGGTAATTTTGTATTTTTAGTAGAGATGAGGTTTTGCCATGTTGACCAGGCTGATCTCGAACTCCTGACCTCAGGTGATCCGTCTGCCTTAGCCTCCCAAATTGCTGGGATTACAGGTGTGATCCACCGAGCCCAGCCTGGCAAGCAACTTTGAGGAGTGGGTGGGGAGAACACCGAGATGGAGTTGTTTTCAGACATTTCCATTCGTCCCAAATAGCAATTCCCTTAAATTGTGGCTCAAGCTTCTGCTTTCTAAAACATCCCTTAGGCCAGGCACGGTGGCTCACGCCTGTAATGGCAGCACTTTGGGAGGCTGAGGCAGGTAGATCACCTGAGGTCAGGAGTTCGAGACCAGCCTGGCCAACATAGTGAAACCCCGTCTGTACTAAAAGTACAAAAGATTAGCTGGGCGTGGTGGTGTGTCTGTAATCCCAGCTACTTGGGAGGCTGAAGCAGGAGAATCGCTTGAACGCGGGAGGCGGAGGTTGCAGTGAGCCAAGATCGCACCACTGCACTCCAGTTTGAGCAACAAGAGTGACACTCTGTCTCAAAAAAAAAAAATCTGATACTTTATTTCTCTAGCTTCTGGCAACACTCACACCGTCTTCCTGAAAAGGTAGCACCCGGGGGTTCGGGAAAGGAGCCTGGTAGTTCAAGTGCCTGGGGTGAGAGGTGAAGTCTGCCTTGGCCCTTTGCCACTTTGACACCTCTCTTTTTCTGTGTCTCGAGTTCTGTTTTGCTTCCATTGGCAAAATAGTAATAAATAAATATCAGTGTCCAGCACTGTGTCTGGGCCATAGTATGTGCTCAGTAAATTATATGCCTAGTGTTCCATTATTGGAATGCTAAGCTTGTGGGAGTTATTTATATCCTGCTCAAGGTCATCGCCAAGGTCTGATTTTTCACACGTCTGCAGTTCAAACAATTGCAACCTCTGGGTTAATGTTACTCCTTTTCTCATACTCTCCCAGAATGTGACAGGGCTTCTGAGGGGAGCCCTATGCCGTGGAAGACCCGGCAGAGTGTCCTTAAGGCCCCGGCAGGAGTCAGGGTCGTTATGTGCTGGGGCCGCTATATTTGGTGAAAAGGACTTATTCCCAGGCCTCACCCAGCAGGATCACTATGGAATTGGTTTCTCAGGAGATTTCTGGCTCTTTTCTTTGGAGATTGTTATTCCTTAGTCGCCAGGTAGGACAGTTTGCCTCACAGCGAGGCTGGAGTGAGGATCTAATCTGATGCTCCTCAGTTCCTGGGTTCCTGTTAGAGACACAGGGCACAGACGGGAAAGCAGAGCTTACTTAGCCTTTGCTCTTCTGGCTGTCATTCGCAGCCTTGGGGTGGCTTGGTCTCAGGTTTTCCTGTGGGCTGTAGTTGCAGTCTGTGTCCAGTGGGTGGCAGTGTGGCCCTGCCTACAGGAAGGACCTCTCCCTCCCTTTCAGGATACGACGCCTCCTCCATGTACCCCCAGTTCAAACACCCTGACCCACTCCACTTACTCTTTTGATGGGTCCTGGGGGCATCAGCTGCATTTCCAGGGAGGCCCAGTTGGGCTGTTACTGTTTGGATCACCTTGCATCTGGGAGCGATGGGGCCCTTAGGGTTTATGTAGGTCTGAAATGGCAGTTGGGCCTGCCACATCCTGTCAGCTTGAAGTCAGCCTTACCTCCTCCCCTCAGCAGCCTGGATTATCTCTCAGCCACTCTGATAAAGCCCACTGTGCCTAAGAGAAACAGGTTCAGAGGGGCGTGCCTGAGGTTGCCAGGTCACCACCCATGTTCCTCCAGCTAGGGGCCTCTCCCAGTGCCACTGTTTTCTTCTTGGCCTCTGCCCATTGTATTTGTTTTGCTACCTGAGACCATGGACACCTTCAACTTACAAAATTCCCTTCTTCCTGCACAGGGGACCCTCACAATGATCCCAATGCTCAGGGTGATGCCTTCAAGACTCTCTTCGTGGCGAGAGTGGTAAGTCCCCAGCTCCCAGCTCCTGGAACCCCACGCTGCTGAGAGCCTGGGTCTGGCCCAAAGGGCAGATAGGCTAGGTACTGGGGAATGTTCCAGGGGCTGCGGGACAGCTCTGTTCTCCCATTTAATGTCATACCCATCTCCTTGTAGAACTATGACACAACAGAATCCAAGCTCCGGAGAGAGTTTGAGGTGTACGGACCCATCAAAAGAGTAAGTGGAGTGGGGTCAGGGTGTTTGAATTGGGGGTGCATGGAGAAGGGGCCGTGTCCTAAAAGGGAGGGAGAGAGGTCCCAGCCCTGAGCATGGCTCACACCATTTCAGGGCCTGGGTTTATGCATCCTGACTGTATTTTCATGCAGCAGACCTTGGGTAGCAGAAGTAAAATGAGAAGTAATGACTGCTGGTGGTTGATGGAGAGCAGGGGTTGGCAAACCAGACTCACTGCTTGTGATAAAGTCTTCGTGCTGCGCAGCCGGGCAGGCCTGTCTGTCTACACGTTGTCTTTGGCTGCTACTGTTGTAAGGCAGGGTTGGGTCGTTGCAAGAGTATATGGCCGTCAAAGCTGGAAATACATACTCTTTGCGTCTTGGCAGAATACGTATGCTGAGTCTTGTTTTAGAGAAAGGCTTTGTTTTACCAATTTTCTTTTAAGTCACTTAAATGCTGTGCCTGATTTCCTTTATCTAACATGGGAGACGCATGCCTTCCCTGGGCAGTAGTGAGGGCTTGAGGCCACCCTACACACAAACTGATGTTAGCCATGTCTCCTCCTTCCTACTCAGTTTTTGATACATCTTTTTAAAATACTTACACATGTCAGGCCGGGTGCGGTGGCTCACACCTGTAATCTCAGCTTTTAAGGAGGCAGAGGCGGGAGGATAGCTTAAACCTAGGAGTTCCAGACCTGCCTGGGCAATATAGTGAGACCCCGTTGTCCACAAAAAGGAAAAAAAAATATTGTTGGGCCAGGCGTGGTGGCTCATGCCTGTAATCCCAACACTTTGGGAGGCCAAGATGGGCAGATCACCTGAGGTCAGGAGTTTGAGACCAGTCTGACCAACGTGGTGAAACCTGGTCTCTACTTAAAAAAGTACAAAAATTAGCTGGGCGTGATAGCGGGCACCTGTAATCCCAGCTACTCAGGAGGTTGAGGCAGGAGAATTGCTTGAACCCGGGAAGCGGAGGTTGCAGTCAGCCAAGATCGTGCCACTGTACTCCAGCCTGGGTGGCAGAGTAAGACTCCATCTTAAAAAAAAAAAAGGTATTGTAGGCCGGGCGTGGTAGCTCACGCCTGTAATCCCAACACATTGGGAGGGCAAGACAGGCAGATCAGCTGTAGTCAGGAGTCAAGACCAGCCTGGCCAACATGGCGAAACCCCGTCTCTACAAAAATACAAAATATTAGCCAATTGTGGTGTCTCGTGTCTGTGTGTTTGTTTGCATATATCCGTATATGCCTGTATATATGTGTGTATACACACATACACACGTTGTTCTGCCCTGCACAGTCCAGTGACAACCTTGGCCCCACCCTTGTCCCTCTGATCCCATTCGAGTCAGGAATCTCGGTTGTGCTTCGGAGGCTGTGGGGTCCCAGGTTCATCCATGATAGCGGTTGGTCGCCGACTGGTAGTGATGTGAATGGAGAACTAGCCATCCTTTTTTTTTTTTTTTTTTTTTTTTGAGACGGAGTCTCGCTCCATCGCCCAGGCTGGAGTGCAGTGGCCGGATCTCAGCTCACTGCAAGCTCCGCCTCCCGGGTTTATGCCATTCTGCTGCCTCAGCCTCCCGAGTAGCTGGGACTACAGGCGCCCGCCACCTCGCCTGGCTAGTTTTTTGTATATTTTTAGTAGAGACGGGGTTTCACTGGGTTAGCCAGGATGGTCTCGATCTCCTGACTTCGTGATCCGCCCGTCTCGGCCTCCCAAAGTGCTGGGATTACAGGCTTGAGCCACCGCGCCCGGCCAGAACTAGCCATCCTTGAGGGACCAGCTCACATGCTGTCACCTCCCAGAAATCTTCCTTGGTTCATTCTGGCCACCTCTGTCTCAACAGCCCTTCCTTACCCATTGTTCTCCCTTACGTGGTCCCCGAGGGGTCTTCCTGACATCCAGAGCTGACCCCATCTCCTCAGCGGTCCTGTGGGTCCCTGGCATGTTAGGACATGTCCAGCTGTGACCATCTGACCTTACAGGACTCTTCCCCAAGCTGTGTGGCCTCGTGGACCTCCACCCCACCCCCACCCCCCACCCCCCTTCTCTTGCTGCCATCCTCGGGATGGGACCCATCCCTCAGCGTGCCACATTCTCTCAAGCCTCCCTGGCTGTGCACATGTCCTTGCTTTTTTTCTTAGAACTCCCCTGTCCCTGGCCAGGTGCAGTGGCTCATGCCTGTAGTCCCAGCACTTTGGGAGGCCGAGGAGGGGGATCATGAGGTCAGGATTTCAAGACCAGCCTGGCCAACATGGTGAAACCTCGTCTCTACTAAAGATACAAAAAATAACCCAGGTGTGGTGGCACGCGCCTGTGATTCCAGCTACTCGGGAGGCTGAGGCAGAAGAATCAGTTGAACCTGGGAGGTGGAGGTTGCAGTGAGCTGAGATCGTGCCATTGCACTCCAGCCTGGGTGACAGAGCAAGACTCCACCTCCAAAAAAAAAAAAAAAAATTCCCCTGTCCCATTGGCATTCACAACTCCCTTCTGTTTCCCTAAGTCCATTTGTGTCCTCCTGACTCCACATAGACCACCCACATTGGCCCTTCGTTGCTCAACAACCTTCCCAGCTCCTCAGGGACTGTACTTCTCAGCCTGGCACTGGGGCGCTTGATGACCCTGGGCCTGCTCACCGTTGTGGCCTCATCTCCTGGGGCTCTCTGTCATCAGTGCGTGAGCCAGCTCTGCCGAAGTGCGTCCCCCCAGCCTCTTGCCCTCCTGCCACCAGGCCATTGGACCTCTGGAGTTACTGCTTTTCCACCTGACAGGCTAACACCTCACTGTCCTCCTTCATCTGTCTTCTTTCTTTAGGTCTTAAGTGTCATTTTCTCCAGGAAGCCACCTCTGTGCTCTCTGGTCCTACAATTAGAACATAAGTCACTCAGGGCTCTTGAAGGACAGAGAGGGTCTGAGACCTCACCTGGCCCAGGGCCTGGTGCGCAGGCTGTTGTGGGGTTGGTGGGGTAGAGCCGCTCTGTGGTGGGACTCACCCCTGTCCCCATGCGCCCCGCAGATACACATGGTCTACAGTAAGCGGTCAGGAAAGCCCCGCGGCTATGCCTTCATTGAGTATGAACACGAGCGAGACATGCACTGTGAGTACCTCCCGCCGAGCCTTGCCCTCTGACCCGCTCTCACTTCTCTGCTGCCCCAGCCCCTCCCAGTCTGTCCCCTCCCCCACCCTGCCACACCTGACATTAGCAATGTCTCTTTTCCTCCTCCCTCTGTTTCTGATGTATCTTTTTTTTTTTTATATACGTGATTTTTAAAAAAAACCAAATCCCCCACAACGTGTGTGTGTGTGTGAACCTGGGGAGGTAAGTGTCACACGTTGAACCTCAGGGGCAAAGAGGGAACTGGGTGAGGGGCTGGGGCCAGTTGGAGGTGGGGGAAGGGGTCGGATTTTGGGGGAGCCTCTCCCCATTATTCCCCCCACTGAAGTTGGGGGTGGCCAGGTTGCAATGAGGACTGGCCTTTGAACCTGTCCTCTCTTCTCCCCCAGTAGAACTGGGGCTGGGCCACCCGACCCTCTGCCTCCCCAACCCTGGCCCCCCACCCTGTTCCTCAGTGGGCAGTGGGGTGATAGGCATGTTGAGCGCCTGCCCCTACAGTTCCAAAGCCCCCTTTGAGGCTGCCGCGGCGTCCACATGGGCAGGGATGGGTGGGGGAGGGTGGGCAGGGCTGCGGCGTGTCCAGGGGCCGCCGTATTAATTGATTGTTCTTATTGTCACTGCAGCCACCACGCAGCTGGCTTGCAGCTGATGCTTACGCTCCCCTTACAACACCTCAGTGTATGGTTGGTATAAGGGTTTGTATCATGGGTAAGATCACTCAGCACCGCACACCAGCCCAGCTTAGCCAGGCAGCTCAGGAGCAGCGAGGCGCCCCTCCTCCCGCCCCAGTCGCCCCCGCAGCCTCCCCGCACCCATGGCCCTTTCCTTGTTTGGGTGCCCTTTGTCCCTCCTGCCCCGATCCGTATGCTCTCCGAGAATCTTGCTGATCCCAGGAGGGGAAGGATGAACCCGGTAGGAAAGGCGGTGGCCTCTCCGCTTGGGTTCCACCCAGCCTCTGATGACCCGGCTTCGTGATGTCAGTGGCGAGGTGGCGGGAACACCAAGGGCAGGGCACCAGGCCAGGGCTCCACTGGAACCCTTCAGCCTTCCCTCCCTGCCCCCGTGCTTTCTGTGGGGCTGCTACTGTGCTGGCCCTGGAGAGTCTTTTTGGCTGCTAGTTTTGGGGTGCTCTGCGCCCTTCCTGTCTTCCTTACTGTGGTTGAGGCCTCCCGAGGGGGCTGGCTGTGGTGTCCAGCCGCTCTCCAGAGGTGGTCAGGAGCTCCCCAAAGTGCATGGAATTGGGGCTTGGGGTGTGGGAGGGACCAAGGGGTAGGCTGCCAGCAGCTGAAGGTGTCAGTTGGTTTTTACTAAAGAACCTTCCACTGTCTAGAGACTTGAGAGAGGGAAAGAGAGAGAGAGGCCTAGACGAACACAATCACATATTTTCTTTGCTGTTCCTCCCGGGATGGGCCTCTTTTGGGGTTTGGGACTCTGAACCCGAGCGGGGTTCCTTCGCTTGACTTTGATCCTGGTCCTTAAATGCCTTTCCCCACTCCCCTCCTGTGGGTTCAGGGGCCAAGTGGCCCCTCCTCAGAGCACGGGCAGCACCGTCTCCTGGACCCCTGTGTGCCAGCCTCTGCAGACGCAGCTGGTGGGAGGGAGCATGGAGTTGGAGGTGGAGAAGTCGCGGGGGGTGGGCTATGTGCCTAGTTCAGTGTGACTTGGGGACTGGTGAGGTTGGACAGGTTTTTGAGGCCTCCCCAGCCTTCTTTGTAAATTCACACGAGATAGTCCAGGGCTTTCCAGAGCCCAGCTTGGATGATAATCCTCGTCTCCCTGACTCTAAGGCCTCCTTGAGATTTCTTTGGGGTCCACCACGTCCTCTGCCTGTCTCCAGGTGGTACAGGAGATGTGGTTCCTCTCCCTCTCCTGGCTCCCTAGAACCCCCGACTTCCCCTCCCTGTAGCTTTAGCTGACCCCATGGTGGTGGGTGTGGGGTCTGTGCGCGTGCTCAGGTAAGCTTGGGGGCTCCAGGTAAGCGGTCCCGTGTCCCCCCCCCGGGAAGCCCGCCTCCTCGCCAGGCCCCCAGGAGTTGCCGAGCCCCCCCCATCCCGCTCGGTTTGGACACCCGCAAGGCCGGCATCGGTAAATGGCACCTTTTTCTCTTCCTCTGGTTGTTATTTGGGGGGGAGCGGGCTGGGGCGGGGCAGGGTATTACGGTTGGTTGAGGACAGCCCCCTAGGCCAGGGCTGGGTGGGGGAACAGGGACTTTTTGGCCTTCCCGATAGCCCCACGTGATCATAGGCCAGGGCCTCAGGCTTGCCTTCTGCTGTGCACTACCCGAGAGCAGCAGTGAGCCTCTCCCCCATCTCCCCTCTACGACTCCTCTTTCCTGGCAGGCTCAGGCTGGGGTGCGCTCCCAGCATGTGTTGAGCCGGGGGTGTGGAGGGCGAGATGGGGCGGGGCTGGGGGGGAGGCAGAGTCAGTCATCTCAGGTAAGGCAGGGATTTTCAGTAGCACCGCACGGCTCCCCATGCTTCCTCCACTGCCCCTCTCCCCTGCTGCAGGGGCCCTACCAGGCCCCCTGGGAGTGTATAACCCGCCTCTCTGCTCCCTGCCATTTCCTGAAGATTTCTCCCACCCCCTTCTGGTTCATTTTCTGTTCTGATGTCTGTTCCCCCCACACTCACCCCCCTCCAAAAAAAAACAAAAACAGAAAAACCGGTGTGGTCTGGGGTGCGGAGCGTCCCAGCTGGGCCTCCTGCCCTGGCTTGGTGTCTCAGGGTGCATGCTTGGGGTTGTGGAGGAGCCCCCTCCCCCACAGCAGAGTCCAGCGTGGAGTTAACCTTCAGTTTCTTTGCAGCGATTTTGGCCGCCCTGGCGGGAGGGGGCTGTTCCATCATGTGGGAGAGGAAGGATGGGGGATCCCGGGGGGTGGTGGGTGAGGGTGAACATCTCCCTCGACCAGGAGTGGTTGGGGCGCTGAGAGGAAGCAGAGGCTGAGATGGAGCAGGCCCTTCGCCGGTTTGGGAGAGGGTTGGTCTGGCTGTCAGTTGCCTGGCTGTCTGTTGGGCGTGTGCGTGTGGGTGATGATGGGGACACGGGGCGGGGATTCTGTAGACCTGGGCCTGTCCTGACTAGAGGACCCTCTGGGGACTCCTCCCCTCCCCCTCCCCACATCTGTTACAGCCGCTTACAAACACGCAGACGGCAAGAAGATTGATGGCAGGAGGGTCCTTGTGGATGTGGAGAGGGGCCGAACTGTGAAGGGCTGGAGGCCCCGGCGGCTAGGTGAGCACGTCCTGCCCTCGATGGGCTCTCGGGGACCCTGGACCTGGTGGCCTTGTTCTCACTTCTTTGCTGCTTTCTGCTTCTCTGTCTCCTGCCGGCTCACGTCTCCCATCGCGTCCTCATCTCCAGCTTCTCTGTTTCGTGGCCATCACATTTCTGACAGCCGCCTGTCTCCTCGTTCTGGGTTACTGTGAGGAGCAGGGGCACCAACCTGGAGCAGGGGCACCAGGCTGGAGAGGCCTGAGCCCACATGCTGGCGTCCTCACTTGCTTGCTGGGGGCCCCCTCTTCCTGCCTCATTGTCCTCCTCTTAGTGGAAATAACCTGAGTTTGCTGAGCTCAGTGTACTGGGTGCCCAGCTTGGCAGTGACGCATGCTGGGGTTGTAAATGTCACTTGCTCATCTGCTTCTGCTGCTTGTTCTTGCTCTTGTTCGCTCTTTTACTGATTCAGCAAGTACCTATTTGATCACCAGCCGTGTGCCAGGCTTCTAGTCAAGAGCAACCCAGAGGCAGCCTCTGCCCTCTGAGCCTCCTGCATTCAGTCTCCTCATTGTCGTTCGCTGTCTCAGGCAAGGTCAGTTTGGCTGCAGGTATCAGAAATAAACTTGAGCTTCCTGAAACATAAAAACATAAAAAAAGAAACATAATTCTGTTAACACAGAATTATGGGCATCCTTTGGAGTTCAGAGGTATGTGATGCCCATGGATCTAAGAGGACCTGGTAGCTGAAGCTGTTAAGAGCTGGGGCAGCCAGGCCAGGCACAGTGGTTCACGCCTGTAATCCCAGCACTTTGGGAGGCTCAGGCGGGTGGATCACGAGGTCAGGAGTTCGAGACCAACCTGGCCAAGAAGCTGAAACCCCGTCTCTACTAAAAATACAAAAATTAGGTGGCCGTGGTGGCGGGCACCTGTAATCTCATCTACCCAGGAGGCGGAGGTTGCAGTGAGCCGAGATCGAGTCACTGCATTCCATCCAACCGGGGTGACAGAGCAAGACTCTGTCTCAGAAAAAAAAAAAAAAAGCTGGGACGACTCACCTGTGATGTGTGACGGCCCACAGCTTGCTTCTGCCTCCTTAGCCTCCATGCAGCTGGGTCTGTCCCATGCCTCTTTGCACTGGCCCAGCGCAGCATGCCACAGGCTCCGGCTTTACACTCAGTCCTGGACGGGTCTCTTGTTTCAAGGTGGGCACATCTGATTGACTCAGTGCTGGGCCTGGGGTCCTGCTACTCAGGCATGCTTCTTGACGACTGAATCCTGCAAAGCTGAGTGACAGTTGTCAGAGATGATGATGATCCCTGGGCAGACACCCAGGCAGTAGTAGCCACTTGGGACTCCTGTCCTGCCTCCCAGCCCTGTGTCCTCGCTCTGGATTCGCCTGTGCTAGGGAGACCACACTCTAAGCTGCTGAGCCTCTGAGTTTACCAGGCATGTTCTTACCTTACTCTGGTCTCTCCGGGGTGGAGTGGGTTCTTACAGCTCTGCTGTTTCCTGTTGGGGCAGGAGAATTCTGGAATCTCAGCCTTTCCAGAATCTCAGAATCTTCTAGTTCAATTGCCATTCAAACTTTTTGTTGGTGTTAGCCAATAACATCTTGACTTGGTGCACCCGCAGAAATACTATAACCTAAAGTTTGAGGAAACAGTTTTTTCTATGTAGTAAGTGTATAGTAGTATTGTATATTCTGCTGTTTTGTTTTTAAGATGTTGGTTGCAACCCATCAGATTGATGGTGTGACTCATTGCTGGGTCATGACTTGAAAATAGTAAAGGCTAGTCTAGCTGCTCTGTGCCTGTGACATGGCAGGTGCCTGGTCTGCTGCCGGCTTCCTGTAAGAACGTCTCCCTGCAGCCTCTTTTCTACACAGAACTCAGCCCTGCCTCACGGAAGCTTTTCCAGGCAGTGTAGAGGAGCGCTTGAGAAGGCAGGTTCTGCAGCAGACGGCAGTGACAGCCCAGTTCTGCACCTTCCTTGCTGAGTCACTGTGGGCCAGTGACTTGATCTGAGATTGTTTCCCCATCATAACCATGAGGTTCCTTGGGGCTGTTCATGTATTCACTTGACACACACACATCCACCTTTCTATATCAGCTGCAGCGCCACCTGCTGGTACCGTGAGCAAGAGCCGAGTGCGCCCACGGTCCCGGTGCCTTGCAGTCAGTCTGGTGGGAGAGGCAGGTAGGGGTCGACTCAGACAGGTAGCAAACCTGAAACTCCCGGGAAAGGAAGCATTTCTGCAACTGTGAGTACATAGGACTGTGAGGAGAGGCTTCTGGAGGAAGGGATGTTCGGGCTAGCCTTAAGGGTAAGTGGGAGTTCGCCAGAGAAGGAAGGGGAGACCAGTCCAGGGCAAGGAGAATGCGCAGACTGTGGGAAAGGCCTGGGACGCGCAGCCAGGGGCTGCCGCTCAGACACTAGCGGGGCCCACTCTTGCTGCTTCTACCACCAGTTGACGAGGAGTTTGGACCTCAGGCTGGGGGACGCCACCAGAGGCTTCTAAGCCGATCATGTTTTTGGGTGGAAAGAGCTTTAGCTTCGGGCTTGTGTGAGGATGAGGATGATTGGAAGGGAGGGATTTGAGGCTGTGAAGTGCGCTGTGGTTAATATGATGCGCTTTGGGGTCAAATGTGGGTTCCAGTAACGGCTGTTTCCTAGCGAATGCTTTGTGTGAGTTATTTCAGGAAGATGTGGCTGTCTTGTGATGGGAGTGCGCGGGATGAACTGCAGAGGGGGACCCGGCCCTGTGAACACTAAGCCAGGGGCTGCCTTTCTGCTCTTGGAGCCGGCTGATTTCTGCTTCTCCGGGCCCTGCCCCTGCCCCTGCCCATACTGACCCTCTTGTCTGTCTGCCCTGCCCAGGAGGCGGCCTCGGTGGTACCAGAAGAGGAGGGGCTGATGTGAACATCCGGCATTCAGGCCGCGATGACACCTCCCGCTATGATGAGAGGTAAGATTGGGCGACCGGTGTCCTGGGGTCGGGGGCGGTCACGGGGGGAGCCCGGCCACACAGGTCTGCCCACCTCATCCAGGCCCGGCCCCTCCCCGCTTCCGCATAGGGACCGGGACCGGGACCGTGAGCGGGAGCGCAGAGAGCGGAGCCGGGAGCGAGACAAGGAGCGAGAACGGCGACGCTCCCGCTCTCGGGACCGGCGGAGGCGCTCACGGAGTCGCGACAAGGAGGAGCGGAGGCGCTCCAGGGAGCGGAGCAAGGACAAGGACCGGGACCGGAAGCGGCGAAGCAGCCGGAGCCGGGAGCGTGCCCGCCGGGAGCGGGAGCGCAAGGAGGAGCTGCGTGGGGGCGGTGGCGACATGGCGGAGCCCTCCGAGGCGGGTGATGCACCCCCTGATGATGGGCCTCCAGGGGAGCTCGGGCCTGACGGCCCTGACGGTCCAGAGGAAAAGGGCCGGGATCGTGACCGGGAGCGACGGCGGAGCCACCGGAGTGAGCGCGAGCGGCGCCGGGACCGGGATCGTGACCGCGACCGTGACCGCGAGCACAAACGGGGGGAGCGGGGCAGTGAGCGGGGCAGGGATGAGGCCCGAGGTGGGGGCGGCGGCCAGGACAACGGGCTGGAGGGTCTGGGCAACGACAGCCGAGACATGTACATGGAGTCTGAGGGCGGCGATGGCTACCTGGCTCCGGAGAATGGGTATTTGATGGAGGCTGCGCCGGAGTGAAGAGGTTCTCTCCACCAGCTTTGTTTGGACGCGTTCCTGCCCACCCCTTGCTGTCATCCCCTCCCCCAACCTTGGCCACCTGAGTTTGTCCTCCAAGGGTAGGTGTCTGATTTGTTCTGGCCCCTTGGATTTAAAAATAAAATTAATTTCCTGTTGATAGTGGGCACCTCGGTTTCTTCCTCACTGCTGTCCTCCCCAGAAGGTTGTCCCTGACTTTCGATAGCCCTGCTTGGTTTGGTTTGCAGGGAGTAGTTATAACTTGAGGGTTAGGACGTGAGGCTGGCTCTGCCCAGTAGCCAGAGCTGGTGAACGTTAGGGAGGAGGCCTCTCTAGGGCTCCTTGTCTCCCTTGGTTTTTCACTCTCTTTTTTCTTTTTCATCTCTGGCATACATTCCTCAGGGCTGACCATACCCCTGTCTTGGTGGGGGGCTGGGAATTAATTAGGAGGGGACTTGATTACTCAGGCGAAGCCGCAGTTTTGAATATGCAAGGGAAGCTACAATCTGCAAGGGAGAGCGGCATACATGGTGAGGAAAGGCAGAATGAACACACTGGGCATGGGTGAGATGGGGCAGAGCAGGAAGGATGAACTCACATCATACTTAGTAGTGACAGGTGTAACAAGCAGAGACACAGAAGAGGTCCTACCAGCAATTGAGATTTCAAGCAAATTCCTGGACAAAAGATTAAAGCCATCAGTGGTGAGAACACTTCAGTCTGGTGAGTGCAGAGAAGGAAGCCAGTCAGCCTTGCAGAACCCTAGAGGGTCAAGGCTGCAGCTCCAGGAGAGCGAGGGTGGGAGGCCAGAGGCAGAGATTGGCCTCCTTGTTGGCACTCAGGATGCCTGGGAGCTGGACCCGGGGGTCCCTGGGCAAACCAGCTTGTGTTCAGACCTGCTTGTGTCTTTTAGAAGCATCTCAGCCTGAAGGCAACTTGGCCTGGTAACTCAGAGGGTCTGTGACTGACACTCAGGATTTTAGTCTGCTTTTTAATGGTTTCAGTTTAACCAACTAAGGATACCCAGATATTTGAGGAAAAGCAGACCACAAGATAAACAGAAAATCTGACCATCTGACCCTGGAAGAAATGACTTAGGATTAAAAGAACTTCTTTCTTTTTTTTTTTTTTTTTTTTTTTAGGTCGGAGTCTTGCTCTGTCGCCCAGGCTGGAGTGCAGTGGCGTAATCTCGGCTCACTGCAAGCTCCGCCTCCCGGGTTCACGCCATTCTCCTGCCTCAGCCTCCCGAGTAACTGGGACTACAGGTGCCCGCCACTGCGCCCGGCTAATTTTTTCTATTTTTAGTAGAGACGGGGTTTCACCATGGTCTCGATCTCCTGACCCTGTGATCCGCCCGCCTCGCCCTCCCAAAGTGCTGGGATTACAGGCGTGAGCCACCGCACCCGGCCTAAAAGAACTTACCTCTAATTAGTGTATTTCATAGATACTCCAGATATTGCAACTATAGACTTCTAATTGGCTACAAAAAGCCCATTTTGGACTCACATGGCACAAACTGGTTATATAAATGCTGGACAATAGGCAAAAACTTAGGAAAGGCGCCAGAGAGAGGCCAGCTTTGATGAGGCTTGAGGGGGTGGGATCCCTTAAAAGAACACTTACAGGTGTGTTTCGTGCTTAACCTTGCCTTTTCCTTGAGGATGTTTTGCCATTTGGCATGGGGAAGAGACTATCAGGCGGGACTGACTTCCACTGGGCCAAGTTCACAGAGGTTCAGCCAGGCAGCTGGGACTTGACAAAATAGGAGAGGAGGGCACTGAGCTCCCAAATCTACGTGCACCCTCCCTTAGAAGCATCCGCCAACTCAAGCTGCTCACTGTCTATGCAAGACCCCCAAGAAACTCATCAGAATGCAGTAACTGTGAGGCTAAGGAACTGGTGGCCTGGAGACTGCAGCTGCCATGCTGTTTTGGGGCAGACAGGTGGTGGTTCAAGGCCCACCGTGGTGGACTGACCCTGCTTGAGATGGCCAGGGTGCCTCAATGTCAGAGGAAGGCCATAACAGAAGAAATCAGACTAAGAGGCTGAGCGCGGTAGCTCACGCCTGTAATCCCAGTGCTTCAGGAAGCGGAGGTGGGTGGATTACTTGAGGTCAGGAGTTCAAGACCAGCCTGGCCAGCTTGGCAAAACCCCATCTCTACCAAAAATACGAAAAATTAGTCGGGCATGGTAGTGAGCGCCTGTAATCCCAGCTACTTGGGAGGCTGAGGCAGGAGAATCGTTTGAACCTGGGAGGTGGAGGTTGCAGTGAGCCGAGATGGTGCCATTGCACTCCAGCCTGGGCAACAGAGTGAGATTGCATCTCAGAAAGAATAAATAATAATCAGGCTAAGAAAGCCTAAAACCAGACTTTTTCAGGATTTAGGCAATCTTCTAGCCAGAAGAAAAGTCTGAAAGAAGATAACGTTCCGAGTCTCCACATGTACTATTTTTAGTACCCATTACTCAGCATCTACTCAATAGTTACCAGCCTTGCTAGAAAGGACTTAATTTGCTGAAAACCAAGAGGGAAACAAAATAGACAATAGAAAGAGACCCAGGCAGGGGTGATTCAGATGTTGGAGTTATAACTATGAGATGTATTCACAAAGGAAGGAAAAGATGGAGAATGTTGAGATATCTGGAATCTAGTTACTTCAGAGGCAGAGGCAGGAGGATTCCTTAAGCCAAGGAGTTTGAGATTACAGTGAGCTATGATCACACCACTGCACTACAGCCTGGGTGACGGGAAGACCCTGCCTCAAAAACAAAAAAAACAAAAAAAACTGGAATCTAACAAAAAGTTAAATGGCAATTCTAGAACTAGAAAACAACTGAAATTAAGAAGTAGGTGGTGGCCAGGCATGGTGGCTCTGTAAACGCCACATTTTGGGAGGCCAAGGTAGGAGGACCACCTGAGCCCAGGAGATGGAGACAAGCCTAGGCAACATGGCAAAACCCTTTTCTCTAAAAAAAATACAAAAATTAGCCAGACGGTGGTGGTGTGTGCCTATGGTCCCAGGTACTCAGGAGGCTGAGGTAGAAGGATTACCTGAGTCCAGGGAGGTCAAGGCTGCAGTGAGCCCTGATTCCACAACTGCACTTCAGCCTGGGCAACAAAGTGAGACCCTGTAACAACAACAACAACAACAAAAAGTACCACACACACACACACACAAACACACATAAACACCACACACAAACACGCCACACACACAACACATAAAACACCACACATACACAAATACCACACACAAAAACACACAAACACCACACACACACAAACACCACACACACATAAACACACCCAAAAACACCACACACACACCCCACACAAAAATACACATAAACACCACATACCACACACAACCACACACACAAACACACAAGTTTAGTAGACAACCGGGCACAGTGGCTCACGCCTGTAATCCCAGCACTTTGGGAGGCCAAGGCAGGCGGATCACCTGAGGTTGGGAGTTCGAGACCAGCCTGGTCAATATGGTGAAACCCCGTCTCTACTAAAAATATGAAAGTTAGCTGGGTATGGTAGCGGGTGCCTGTAGTCTCAGCTACTCGGGAGGCTGAGGCAGGAGAGTTGCTTGAACCCGGGAGGCAGAGGTTGCAATGAGCCGAGATTGTGTCACTGCACTCCAGCCTAGGGGACAGAGCGAGATTCTGTCTCAAAAAAAAAAAAAAAAGTGGTGAGACACTAGATAATGTGGAGTCCTCCTTATAAATGCTAGAAATACTAGGAAAAATTGACTTGAACAAACTTTTTATTTATTTTTTTGGGGGTGGGTGGACGGAGTCTTGCTTTATCACCCAGGCTGGAGTGCAGTGGCGTGATCGCAGCTCACTGCAAGCTCCGCCTCCCAGGTTCACGCCATTCTCCTGGCTCAGCACACGAGTAGCTGGCACTACGGGCACCCGCCACCATGCCTGGCTAATTGTTTTTTGTATTTTTAGTAGAGACGGGTTTTCACCATGTTAGCCAGGATGGTCTCGATCTCCTGACCTTGTGATCTGCCCGCCTTGGCCTCCCAAAGTGCTGGGATTACAGGCGTGAGCCACTGCGCCTGGACACAAACTTTTTTTTTTTTTTTTTTTTTTTTGAGAAGGAGTTTCGCTCTTGTCCCTCAGGCTGGAGTATAATGGGCGATTTTGGCTCACTGCAACCTCCGCCTCCTGGGTTCAAGCGATTCTCCTGCCTCGGCTTCCTGAGTAACTGGGGTTGCACCACCACGCCTGGCTAATTTTTGTGTTTTTAGTAGAGACGGGTTTCACGATGTTGGCCAGGCTGGTCTTGAACTCCTGACCTCGGGTGTTCCTCCCGCCTCAGCCTCCCAAAGTGCTGGGATTACAGGCAAGAGCCACCGCGCCCGGCCTCAAACTTTCTTGAAAGAGACATCTCACTACCTCTTTAGGAATAACTGAAGTCATACTTCACTAAAATGAAGGATTTACAAGAAGAAACTGGATCTAATTCAGGAGATCAGTGGAGGGAAGTCCTAGGATGGCAGTTTCTAGACAGCAATTTGGTTCAGAGTCAGGTAAGAGGACTGAAGTTTCCCAAAAGTTTAGGGAGAAGACGGTAAGAGCAGATAATCTGTAATCTATTACATCTAAATTGATAAATCAAGGGCCAGGTGCAGTGACTGATGCCTATAATCTCAGCACTTTGGGAGGCTGAAGTGGTCAGATCACTACTAAAAATACACAAATTAGCCAGGTGTGGTGGGGGGGCACCTGTAATCCCAGCCACTCAGGAGGCTGGGGTAGGAGAATCGCTTGAACCCGGGAGGCGGAAATTGCAGTGAGCTGAGATCATGCCACTGTACTCCAGCCGAGGCAACAGAGCGAGACTTCATTTCAAAAAAATTAAAAGCCATGCACGGTGGCTCACGCCTGTAATCCCAGCACTTTGGGAGGCCGAGGAGGGTGGATCACAAGGTCAGGAGTTCAAGACCAGTCTGGCCAATATGGTGAAACCCCGTTTCTACTAAAAATATAAAAAAGTAGCTGGGTGTGGTGGCGCATGCCTGTTGTCCCAGCTGCTTGGGAGGCTAAGACAGAAGAATCACTTGAACCCAGGAGGCAGAGGTTGCAGTGAGTGGAGATCGCAGCCACTGCACTCCAGCCTGGGTGACAGAGAGAGACTCCAC